AGAAATCCCCCCGGTCAAATCGCTTTCGACTTTTTGTCGGATTCCACTTCGGTCACTTTGCTTCAGCCTTCTAGATATGTCAATGATGATCTGTCCAACATGAATTTGAGGCACTCCTAAATTACCAATCATAAGGTTTCAAATGAAAACGGCTGATGAATCATATTCTTTATTGCAAAATAATAGAAATGTGATTGCTTTTTTTTTCACACACAATAATAAGCAAGGAATGCAAAATTAACGATTCATCAAAATTCATACTGAACACCTCGTCAGAGCGAACACTCCTTACAGTATTAAATAACAACGGCATAGAAATTTGAATAGCCAACGAAAAACAACAAGAAAATGTCGCAGAGGAAGTAAAAAATGCTCTGAGAGCAATAATCAGTTGCACATTAAAGACAATTAAAATGAACATTTCCAGATAGTGCTGGAACAATAGTGAAGCAGCAGCACAACAAAGCAATTGGAAACAATCAAGGGAACATAATCACTGAGAACCGAATGCCCTCATTCTTACGGGCTCAGCGTTATTTTCAGCTCAGCAATAAATTACGCATGTTTTTCCTTTTCGAGATTTACGTATAGCAATGAATCACTGATTTTCACAATAACATCCCACTTCAATATTTGATGATGAAATATTCTTTTAGTCTGAAGCATTTTGGATGTCTTGCAGCAATGTAGAAGGTGGAACGCAATGTCGGTAAAGAAGCATTTTGGAAAATGCAAAAGGTTTGGGATATGGGTTGAGAAGTGTTATTCTGGGAAACGATTTTGGATGCCTTACAAGAAGAACATAGACGATAGAACACAAAAATTAATTCGGTTCTCTGAAGAAATGCGATGAACGAACTTCTTTCTTAAGAGAACAAAATAAATGGTGCAAGTCAAGCAAGCTACACACGATTGCAGGCAGCTTTATGCTGCTACAATCTTTATTCAAAATTTTACATTATCACTGATGCAAATCACGATTGCGATCAGTTGTTCTATGAGAGCAAAAATACTCGCTCGATAAACAGTTAAGGTTTTTTTGGAATGCACAAGTGACATGAATACTGACAATATTTCGCCATAAAACGATGGTAACTTCCTCTGCAACGTCCATGTTTCGCCCATTCGGCACAATGTTGGTTACGATCCTGGCATGGTTCTACTGCAAGACAAACTTTTGAATATGAATAACAGCTTCTAGAACCATCTGATTACAAATCTTGTCACTCATTCAAAATATATGCAAGGAAACTCGTATAAAATCATTACTCAAAAAATTAAGTCTTTCGCCTCTAAAAATTTCGAATAATTGAAACTCTTCAACGAATTTTTGTCCTGCTTGCTTAAGAATGTTCAAAAAAAAGCAACTGCAAACAAAGTTTAAAAAACAGAATGAACAATACTTTAGAGGACGGATATAATCATGTCCTTTTGTAGTTATTGCGTGAAACTGACGAAATTACTCTGATACGCTACAGTTACGAATTGGTTCAATTAAAGAGTGATGGAAAAACGGTCTTTCGAACTTACTGTGAGGAAGAACTTGTTTCATCATCTTTTTTTCTTTCCCAGAATTGACTTGTTTTTGATGAACTGGGGATTTCGATTGTTTCTGCACGCTACTGCTTGTAAGTGTTGCATTATTTAGCTGGTTGGTACGTTTCAAAATTACGTGGCCTGTAGCAGCTTGATAGAGGAAACGCGGGTATCGTTCTCCGAAACATCGTGGCGCTGTAATTGAAAAATGTTTTTAGCAGATATTATTCCGATGATGGCCGTGATTGTGAAAAGTATCTTGGAAGCTTGAATTTTGATAATGGAGTATGCTCATGTATTTTATTGCTGGCAATCTACCGTGGATGCCTACTTAAGAGAGGGATGCCTTTTTTGTTCACGGGTAAGATGAGACCTAGGAATCCATTGGGCATTTTCGGTGATAAATTGCGCGAGCCTCTTGTTTCGGGCGTTCAGCTCTAGCACAGCTCGCAGCCGAAACATTTGGAGATGCTGCTATGGGATGGATGCCATCAAAAATATCACTTGCATATTTCATATTTCTCGCATACGCACAATTTGTCGGATGAAAAGCATACCGCATAAACCCTCACTGGTACATCCTCCACCATCAGCACACTGCGAGCATCGCGGTCCAGCAAGATATGGTCTCTCGCCGAATACATTGCCCCTAGAGCATGCAACATTTTATTGTTTATAATTAATTTCATTATACAAATGCCTTCAAAACAGCTCTCATCACGTTCTTTTGCCATACATATGATGTTATATTAAAGTACCTCCTCCGATGCTTTTTTGTATGAATTCCATGAGTCGTGAATGATTGCTTTGTTTTTCAAAACTTAAAAAAAAGATGATTTATGCAGAACATACCCCTCGCCATAATTACAAACCAGTATGTGCCCACCGAGAATACCACGACCGTTTTTGATGCCATCGCAACGAACTGCTGCACATCCAACAGCACACGTTGTCGCCCAAACCAACTTAAATGCTTGCACATTTTTTTCGTGTCGGAATTCATTTCAGTTTTTTTCATTTTCCGATTGCATCATTTTGCACTTTTAGTGCATCATCATTTTACAGCTATATGCGTTTTGTTTGACAAACAGCTACTGTTCCCTTGTATTCCGATCAATTCCATTTATTTTGCAGAGATCACTCTTCAATTCTTAACAGCAACAGAACGTCCCTCTATGAAGGAAACTTCTTTCGCAGTCGCGCGTTACTGTAGCTGCTTAAATTTTCACTCAGATCACTACGAGAGACGATCTAAAATTCATCGAATTTATTCAAACGATACGGAGTTTCTGTTAAAAAATTTGAACGGGGTTCCATGATGTCTTTCGATCAAATACTTGTTAATAAGCTGCGCGTCTGGTGCAAAT